CCTTTTCTGCATAGAATTCTCATAGTCCGATAGTAATTAATACAGTTATTAAGAAGTCAACCTGTCCTAATATCTCTCTCTATTACATGTGTATCAGTTTACCATACCCAATGTTTTCTGAGAAAAACTGAGAATAGATATTGGACATAATGTTCTTTGAATTGTGCCATCATGGGGTAGGAGTAGACAGGGCTTGTTTTGTCATAGAACATCCAGAATGGAGTTCCGGCACCTTTTTTGGATGGAACCTTGTAGGGTAGGCAAGGTGGGTTGTATAACGTGTGTGAGTTCCGGCACCTTTTTTTTTTTTTTTACAAAAAAAGCACTGAGAGTAGATGACTTGATAGATTATGTAATCACTTAAATGCAAGATTTCTCCTGAATCTGGGAAATTAAATCATCCTTTAGACAATATGTAGATTCAGTCCTTCCTTATGGTGCATTATGACATTTCCTTATTACTGAGTGTTACCTCCCTTGCATATTGGTCTAATTTTTAATAAGGTGGTAAAGAGATCACATTCTCAAGTCACCCTTTTATACTTTGGAGCCTTTAAGTCAGTCTTGACTCCTGACAACTGCCTATACAAGTCACTGCAGTTTTCTTGACAAGATTTCAGAATGGTTTTGCCACTGCTTCATTCTTAGGGCTGAGAGAAAGTGACTGGCCTAAGGTCACCCAGCTGGCTATGTGTCTAAGGCAGGACTAGAACTCATGGTCTTCTAGCTCATTGTCTTAACTACTATGCCAGACTGGCTCAAGTCACAGCACAAATGAATTCCATCCTCTACAATAGGCTTCTGCCAGGAAAATAGTCAAACCATCCAGAGATGCTACCATTGTGGTTTGTTTGATATGGTATACGAACCATGAACTTTTGGAGCAAGGTAGAGTTTCTAGTTTATGTCACATTAAGTTACAGAAGAAGCTTATGTATGCCAGCACAATGCTTGTTCATAAGAAACTGAAACAGGCGATTTAAACTTGAAAAAAAAGCATACTATTCCTATCATAGTCATGTACAAAACAATAAAATCCTTACAATTTTTAAAACATTCATAACAAATTAAAACACGTAAGCAACTAAAACCATTTTTCCCTGGTTTGAAAAATATTGTAGTCCGTGTGTCAAGTTTCTAGCTGTGAGAACATTACCAAAATAATAGATGGCCATAGAGGCCTTCGCACCTAGTAATGTAAAGTATATTTTAATATTTCCTCACTTCTGACTTAAAATATTTATAACAAACACATCCCTGTTGCTGATCCCTATGGTTCCTCTATTGGTCTCTTCTGATTTTGTGTGTGCAGCACTTGATGAATAAAGCAACTGGATTGGCTGCTCTTTCTTTATCTACAAGTGTGGCAAAAACATCTGTCAATTATAGTACCACAGTATGAATGGGGCCATTCTGGAGGAAATGAGAGTTTTCAAAGTCCTCCTTTCTTTAATCATGAAGCAATTGGTGAGGTTGCACTCATCATTTCATTACTATTTCAGTCTTAAAATAGATCACGGAGGGCCAGTTAAAACACTACAGAATTGCTGACTGAGGTTTAGAGATTGACTCTAATGCTCTTGCACAGTTCTGATAGACCACTATCTATTCTTTTCTTTATAACAATGAAGTATTGTTTCATGAGACTGATGAGGGGCTGGGGAGGGAAGAAATGTGCCTGTAAAAACCTCAAATGGTCAGTAAGTGCCGCTGTGATCCCACTTGCTATCAACCAATAAATTTTGCCTCTGATGGAAAGGATGGCCAAATGTATTCGATTTTGCATACTTTGTAACTGCTGGATATGGTCAAATTAAGACAGAAACTCCTTTTTAGCTGCGATATTGCTAATAGTCACCTTCAACTATGTTACTAAATGGGCAGGGGACAAAACGAACACAATGCCATGGGGACTCAACAGGAAAGACTTGTTGTCAGAACATGTCTGCACCATATTTAGGTGTAGATAACTCCTTGGTGCTGTGCTGATGTAACAGTAATATGAGCAGGCTTTATGGTCTCATCCAGAAATAATGTCTTACCGCAGCCCTTATGTGTCCCACTGTTTATCAGGGATATGTCCTCATAACATTGTCTTCATTTCTTTGACACCCAATTAAATTTACTAGAATAGAATAGAGCTAGAAGCGACCTTGGAGGTCTTCTAGTCCACATGAAGGTGGCTGTGAAGAAGAGCTCTGTAACCCCAACAATTGCTGGATCATGCTATGGCCATTGAGGGTTTCTAGTGTCATCTAAAGTGGATCACTATTGATGGGTCAGTATAACAGAGATGAGAACATGTTTTATGTTGCCTCCATGATGATTATCTAAAACCTATGGCCATTTCCTACTTACTGATTGATGGTGTCTTCAGTTATCTTTTGGCCACAGCTAAAGAGATATGATGCCTTTTTTCATTCCTACTATGTTGACATAAAGGAAGTTGGGTGACTCTTTTCCCACTGTTGAGTTGGCGCTAGTCACCTTTTCCTTGACTCAGTTGAAAACTATACCAGCATGAAATGTGTGATGTTCCTGTTGCTAGTCTCAGTCTTTCCTCTACTGCTTTTGTTTCAGGACACTGCAATCATCTCCAAGGTTGTGAGTAATAAAGCTTAACAGAGTTTATACATCTCTAGGGTATTGTACAGAATAAAGGAGGAAATATTACTTTGTTTGATGCAGTTAAAAAGAACTTAAACCAATCTCACTCAAAAGGTGGGGCTAAGCTTATAGCAAATCACAGCCATGCAAAAAAAAAAAAAAACCCAAGATGTTGCTAGGGCACATGTGTGCCATGGCTGGGAATGATTTTAAAAAAAAACTGCCATTGCTCCAAAAGAAATATATATACACGTGCACGCACACAAGCACACACACACACACAGAGGTCTAGCATAATATAGCAAAAAGAAACCTCCTTTATATTTAATATTTTTGTAGAGACTGATGTGCTGAAGAAGCATTCCCCTTAAGTGTGCCTTGGTCCGCATTCTAGATGCAGGTTCAGCAACTTGGCTTCGGTTTCCTTGAATTGGTGCCAATTATATAGGAGGGAGCAGGGGAAATCGAACAGATGTCCACGATGCCAAGTAGCCTTCCCACAAGAAGCCTGGACATGGTGGGGAACGGCAGCTTCTCGTCTTCGTTCCACGCGGAGCCGGATCGACGCAGTGGCCTTCGATGCCTGCCGGCTGCTGCCTCCGCTTTCAGCTGCTCTTTCTGCGGCTGCTGCTGCTGCTGAAACGCGGCGTTAGTCGCTGACCTCTCTCTTTCTGCCTCCTTGCACGACTCAGTCTCATGATCCATTGTCTCTCCCTCCCTCCCTCTCTTGTATCCTGGCAGAGCCATTTGAACCTGCAGGCCAGTAGCGTTTTGGGAGTGGGCGGAGGGGAGGCGAGTCGGCTCCAGGCGGAGATGCTTCAGCTTGATCTGATTGATGCCACCGGGGAGACGCCCGCCGAAGAAGGGACGGCGCCCGATCCCATCCAGGAGCCCCCGCCAGTAACCATGGATACCTACAGGCCGAAAAGGCCCACGACGCTCAATCTCTTCCCGCAGGTGCCTCGGACGCAGGTAAGCCCCTCCGCTTCCTTCCTTCCCTGCCTGCCATTCCTCCGGATTCGGAGAGCTCCCTCCTTGCGTCCCTTGACACACCCCCATCCCGCTGCTTTGTTTCTTAACATTTACCAAGAAAAGGCGATTTTTTTAATAAATAAAAAAAAAACCTCCCCCCCCCTTCGAGGAAGTTGGAGCCTCCTCCCTCCCTATTCCAGTTTCAGCTTCCTACTTGTTGCATAACTTGAAGGACAGAGGGTCCTCTGGTCAGATTCTGCTTTTTTTGGGGGGGAGCATTCTAGGGTGGATGTCTCATTTCTCTTCTCTTCCCACCAAATGAAGAATTAAGTAGTAGGAGAGCTTAGAGGGAAAGAAGTGGAGTCTCTGAAGAAGTAATTGCTTTTAAGAAAAAGGGTGTTGCACAGTTCAAGATGGGAGGGAGCGAGGGGGGAATTATTAGTTGCCATAAAAATGTATTGTGAATGCACTTGAAGGTCACTTGCCCCCTTGTGTTCTCTGCCATTCACAGTATGTTCCTTTGATTCAAAATGTGTTCTACATCTGAAAATTGGCAAGCTCTGGATGTGGATCAATTCTTAGTGATCAAAGGAGACAGAGACCTTGCATTAGGCTGGAGAGATACCTTTCAAGAAAAAAAAGTATACATAGATTGAGCAATGCTATGAATTCCCAATCTAGGATTCGGTTGTAGTTAATCCCTTTTTTACCTGCAATAAAATGTATAATAATGTAAGATGCAATTAATTCCTTTTTTAGAATATGCTTGTTTGTGATGCCAGCTCAGCTAATGAATGGAGGATCTATTCAGAGTGTATGTGTAACACAGTGTGAGCTGGAGAGAAATTAGCACAAGTTTGGCATGTTTAGTGAAATCCACTGTTCCTCTGACTTCAATTAGACTTTGTCTCTGATATAATGTAAAGTATTGCAATCTATGGAAGGATTTCATTTCTCAGGGCTTTAGGCTGTAAAATATTCCATGATTGTTTAACATACCTTATGGCCTTTTCATTCTGAAGCCATAGAAATAAGACAAAACTGTTTCACCATCCAGAAAGTTACCTTATGAAGTTAGGAATGTTATCTTGTCTATTTTGTGTATTTGTTTTATTTCTTTCCTAAGGGGTGAACATAAAATACTGCACAGTTGAACTTTTTGCAGAGATTATAAAGGCTAATGTAGATATCTTGGGCTGACCTAAGGGATTGTGAAGTATCCTTGACATACCAGAGTTAAAAACAAAATCACTAGGGCCAAAGGAATAATTTATCATGGAAGATAGATCTACTATACTCCTGAATTGAGCTAAAAGCTGAGAGAGTATGCTGCTGGGAGGAAACAAAGTGTGAATAAATAGGATTTGCTCAAATCTTAGGTCACCCTAGCTTGGCAGCTAAACTCAAAATGATCCTAGATGCTTAATCCTTAAAGGAAATAGAGAAAACTGTAAATCTTTGCTGCCTTGTAGAGGTCACAAGGATTTTTGAAGCCTCGGTGAGGTAACTCTATCAAAACAAAATGATGGATGTCTAGAGAAAAGACATTACAGACAGACAGCTATAAGAGGCTGATATAATAAAAAGGACCCTATAGCAACTTACCTGCCTTCCAGGTAAGAGAGAACTCCTATCATCAGTAGCCAGCATTAGTGACTGGAGCTGTAAGCCAACACTTCTAAAAGTCACTAGGTTGAGAAGGCTACCTTAAAAATAATAGATATTAATAGCTTCCATTGAGTAGAGTCTAATTCAAAAGATTCAAGGCAGTTGCATTAGTTGATGATGGGAAAGTGGAAGTGGCAAAATAGTTAAAAGTATTAAAAGTACTGCTTCCCAGGAGACTGATTTAAAGGAACTGGGAATGCTCTTCAAAGTGATACAAAATGTATGAATGGTGTTTTCTGCTAAACTGTGTGGTATAAGAGACTGCTGTCAAATCTCCCTGTTCTGTACTGTTATATTGCCCCTTCATTTGGAGCTGTGACTTTGTCAGAGCCGCATACTTTAATTATACACAAACTGCCCACCTTTTGTGTCTTTTTGTCTTCTTTCATCTATACAGCAGCGAGGAAAGTTCCACCATGGACTATTTTTAATTATATGCTGTTCTGGGATACAACTCCATTTGCTAAATAAGATTTTTCCTGTGACAATTGTTATGGAAAATGCAAAGGAGAGGGGGTGCCACTCTGTGAAGCAGATGGTGAAGACTGGGGTGGGTGGGTGGGTGGCATTGGGAACTGGTGTCAGTATGCAGTTGACAATGGAGGGTTTTAAAGTGTAGGCAGAAAAATTGTAGTCACATGGAAAGCAAAAATATTGCACATGAATATCTGAAATAGCTCAGGTGCTATTGGTTCCAGAAAAGAGTGAAGTTGAGTCAACTGTTAAGGTAGTGATTGGCAACTTTTTCAGCTACAGGATACAAATGGACTTCGGAGAGGATGTTATGGGACTCTGAAAAAGTGGCATCAAGGGGAAGACTGGGTAATGATTATAACCAGGCACAAAACCCCCTATTTCTCAGAAGGCAAGATAATGAACATGGTATCAGCTCCATCTCACCAGTGAACCTGCTAATTCCTGCAGCTCACCACCTTTTCTTTGGGCTAGTACTGTAAAGAAGCATTTTCCAAATAGAGCATTAGGCACCATTTTTATTTGTTAGGAATGTTGTTGAGACTTATAGGAGGCCCAAAGCATTTTTGGAAATAATATTGGGAAATGAAAATGAAGATGTAATAGGCAACAAAGATCTGGGCCCTGGCTGAAGGAAATGACAAACCAAGAGTTTATTAAAATCAGCTGGACTAGAGATATAATGCCATCATTATTGTTTTTAATTACATTTTTTTTAAAAGCAACCGGGGTTGCTTCACTAGTATAGACAGCCATGTGCTCCTTGCAATTTTTACTATAGGGGCCAAACTTTGTTCAATTCAGAATAAGCTTTAATGTCAAAACATCAATAAAACTTCCTATTGTCCATGGCTGGAGTTTCTAGTTTAAAAGAAAAAGAGAGAAACAATGCAATTATTGAAGAACGTCACAAGCATACTGCAGGGTGAGGAAATAAATCTTTTTCCTCACATTATATTTCTCCATCCTATGGCCAAGTTGTGCTTGGAAGAGATCTATTTTCAAATTTTCATTTAGTCACAAAGCTCACTCAGTGACCTAAAGCCACCTATTCACCCTGTTTCAGGCAATCTACCTCAAAAATCAGAGTAATATATTTGCTAGCTTTTGGCCGCTGATAGAAAATATACATAAATGTACTTTCTACTGTAACTGGTGCTATAATAATTAAGCATCTGTTGAATTAGAATCTCAGTTCTTAAAATATTTTGGGACAGTTGGGTTTTGTCGCCAATTCTGGCATTCTGAGGAGTATTACTATTTGAACCAAATATTTGAAACTGAATTTAGCTAAAATTTAGTATACATTTACAGATTTTGGAAGAGGAAATGTAATCATATCAAGGAAGAAACATAAAGAGTTAGGATCTGGGGATGAATTTTTTTACCTGAGGTGATTGGAATAATAGTAAAAAGGTGCACTGCTGTGCTTGTCAAAAAGCATAGAGAAGAAAAAAATGATTTAAAAATCGCTGGGTTTCAAACCAACAGCCTTCTGTTACCAAGACAAGAGTTATATCTGTGGTATTTCAGCACTCATGAAAAAGATACTCTAAAAACAATAAAAAATAAGGCAATAAGAAAAGGATATTTGCTTTTAACGTTCTTATATTTGCTCATTATGCCTGAACATACTTGATTTTCAGTGTTTTAATCCTTGTATATAAACAAATTCAGTTTAATGTTTGTGTACACACACACACACACACACATACACATACACACACACACACACACACACACACAGAGGAAGCCTTGCCTACAGGAAGAAAAGTGACTGGTCATTTACTTTCCTGGAAAATAAAGGTGATGCCCAACAGTAGCTACCATTCAGACTGAATATCTTGCAAGCTGCTGCAGTAGTGACTCCATCTGGACAGGATTTTCTTAAACCGGCTTAAAATCAAGACAGGACAGGAGCAGCTTAAGTTCTAAAAGCAGATATGCCCTTCAATGATCTTCCAGAATTATGTTGACTGTGCATGGTCTCAAAACACTTTCAGTGCAAGAGGGGTCTTTTGATACCCTATTACTTCACTGCAATGAAGTAGGACTAAACTGCATCCAATGAGATAACCATCTCATAAAGTAAACACTATATCATAAAAATACAGAACAGGAAAGTGAGTGCCATGCTTGAAACTTCTGATGCATTTATAACTCTTCAATTTACACTTAACCTGGCTGTAGAAAAAAAAATCTTTTTGTGGGGGAGGGGGAGAAATGAGAGGGGCAAGCCATTTTAGCAAAGTCAAAGTCTAGCAAAGTCAGCAGTATTACTGAATGCATTGGTTAAAGTTTGCTTCTGAGACCAATTCAAAGTGCTGGTTATCAATTTTAAAGCTTTGAATGGCTTGGCACCCAGGTACATATGGAATATATTTACTTATACATCAAATTTAGAACCACCCATTTCACTTATAGAGTGACTTTTTACACATAGTTTTTGCCCATTAGAGTTTTGAAGGAAAGCATATTGAGGGCTCCTACTCTACCTGTAGTGATAGAGTGTGGACTGATGATGTAACTATTTCATAGTGGTAGAGGTAGAGAGTCTGGTAGTACCAGGGTTGAGGCAGGAATAGACAGGATAAAACAACATATATAAGTAATTTACTGAGATATGCATAATACAAGACAGAAAAGTAAAGTGTATCAGAAGTGGATGAGATGTAAGGGAAGAAGTACAATGAGCTTCAGTATCTTTATATTTATTTATTTATTTATTTATTTATTTATTTACTTACTTACTTACTTACTTACACTTACTTATTTACTTATTTAATATATTATGACACCTGTCTCCCGTTGGGCAGTTATGCACAGAAATGTGAGAGTAGAACTAAATATTTATTCTAGAATGCAAATGCCATCTATCTTTAAAAGATATATATATATATTTCACAATTCTATGCATGTTTGCTGCTGTTAACTGTTAAATGTTTTAACTGCTGTTAACTGTTAAATGTTTTGTTCACCACAATTTCCAATTCATGTAATTCTTCACTCTCATAAGAAGGTATCGGTGCACTTCCCACTCTTCAGAGCAAAGATTGGCAAATGAGATAGAAATACTGGGTGGGAAGTTGTGGCATGCTAAAATGCTGATGATAAAATCTATAAAACAGTGGAGGTTGTGGATTCTCCATCTCTGGAAGTTTCTCATGGATGGTTTCATTGGTCTGCTTGAGCAGTACAGAGTTGGACTAGAGATTGGACTAAACTCCTTGTGGCCCTTCCAACTCTACAGTTGATTCGATAAGTAAATATGGAAACTGAGTAGTGCCTCATTGTTGGAGTGATGTGATGTCACTTGTAACAGTCTGGTGCTTTCCCAGTTCTTTTCCTCCTTTTTTTAAAAAAAAAAAAAAAACCCTCCAAAATACTAGCTGCACTCTGTCTTTTGACTGATAGCATTTAGTGTCCTCCATTTGGCCATATTCTGAATTAAATGAGAGACAACAGGGTAGGAGTTAAACATCTGTGTAATTCAGTTCCCCTTCATAGGAACCAACTGACTGAAGTGGCCTCAGAAAGGGAAGGCTCAGCTTTCTTGGTTTCTTTCCTTCTTGTAGCCTGCTGCATCACCTCAGTTTTTCCCTTCTCCTGTTTCTATGCTTGCTACGAGGAGGCTGCAGATGGGGAGCAACAGATGGAGGGTGTGGTGGGATCCCTCTGAATAGCCCTCTTTCCCACATGCACACTGACAATAGCTCTCTGGGTGTGTGTGTGTGTGAGAGAGAGAGAGGCCAGTGTAGGAGGAGAAGCGATGGGCCTCTTTGTGCCATGAGCCACTTTCCCTTGCAGATACAAGCCCTCTTTGTTCTTTTCTTCAGGACACTCTGAATAACAACTCTCTGGGGAAAAAGCACAGTTGGCAGGAACGAGTGTCTCGGTCATCATCCCCCCTGAAAACGGGTGAGTTCATCTCTCAGCAGAGGCAGATTTTGCTTCCCCCCTTCTGCCTGCTGGAACGGTCCCCAATGCTTGGACCTCCTCCTTATAATCTTCTAATGTCTTTTCACGTCAGCTGGCATCTTGCAAGGAGTGCTGTAGTTTTATTAATTGACTCCTTGGACTCAAGCCATTTTGAGAGCTGGCTTTTTGTGCCTTGGTTTCTTCAGGCCGGCATTTTTCTTCTTCCTTCTTTGTTTTTTTTTAACACGAGTCACATTCACAGAACAGCACTTTGGGGAATGTGATGTGCTGGAAAGAGTATGACATATTGGACTTTTAAATTCAGATGTCATACTTGAAGCTGTCATTAAGCACATCAGTCTCTCGATCTAAGGTATTTCATAGTTTTGCTGTAAGGGAAAATTACAAGTCATATCCTTTTGACTTCCTTTAGTGGAAGGATAAAAATGGTAGAAATTTCATGGATGTCATCTTCTGAGTCAGAGAGAGAGAGAGAGACAGAGATCTATAGATATGCGCGCACATGCAGTGTATCAGTTGGCACACACACCTTTCAGTTCCCAGAAACAATGAGCTTATTGGCTCCAGTTGTAAGGCATTGTTCCAAACACTGGCATTTCTAAGACAAAAGATTTTATAACCATTTTGGACTGGGAATAGAAACACTTAGGATACTCAGTGTATTTGTTACTGACTATGATTATTCTGGTAGGTCAAAGTCAAACCTGACTTGACTTTGATAGGTGGGTATTTTAATATTCAGCTGGCCACATAAGTAGGATTTATCTCTTAATCCTCTGGATGTACTCTGTGAAATGTGTAGATACAACTCCAGTGGACTTACCACTGCTTTGAATGAAGTACAAGAACTGTATCAAAACATTGTTATCTGTATCTTGTTGGTTATTTTATATGTTCCTTCCTTCTCCTTGCTTTTTACCTACTATAGGTGAGCAGACACCATCCCATGACCACATTTGCCTGAGCGATGAGGTCACTCACCAAAATAGCACAGCCTCCACCAAAGATCGGGGTACATCCACAGAGAGCCCGTGCCGGCGTACAGCTTCAACACAGATTGCATCAGCCTGCCTGGCCTCCTCTCGAGCACCTGACAAGCAGCAGGCTGTCAACCGCCTCCCATCCCAGAACCCCACTGTGGTGGTAGTAACAAGAGGACCTGAAGCTTATCGGGATCGTATTCGCTACCAGACTGATGTGAGATTGGAAGCTACTGAGGAGATTTACCTAACACCAGTACAAAAGAATTTGGACCCTCTGGAGTCTGAGAAGCCATTCATGTCACAGTCCAGTGACAACCGGATGTCCATTAGCTCTGATATAGACACTTCTGGCTACCCACAAATGACAGGAAAACCCAATTCCTCAATCAGTGAGGAGGATGAAGTGCTGGATTACTTATCTTCACCTGACAAAATGAACACACCACGGACTGTGTATAGCAGCAGTAATGGTGGCTATCGGCCTTGCCATAATTTCCAGAGGGCATCAGTGAGCTCTGATACCAGCGCCCTCTCCTACGACTCAGTCAAATACACACTGGTGGTGGATGAGGATGTACAGCTCGAACTTGTTAGTCTGAAACAGTGTTACTCAGGTTACAGTGATGAGAGTGATTCAGCCACCGTCTATGACAACTGTGTCTCCTCACCATATGAATCAGCCATTGGGGAGGAGTATGAAGAAGATGCCCTGAAACGTGATTCTGTTTGTCTCTCTGAGGATTCCACCCCCGAGGCAGACATCCACTTCTCCAAGAAGTTCCTCAATGTCTTCATGAGTGGCCGGTCACGTTCTTCCAGTGAGTGCTGGGCAAAAGTCATTTCCCACAGGCCCTAGAAAGAAGGGAAAGGGTGGGAGGAATTGAGAGCCTCATATCAGACAGAGAAAAATTTCACTTGTCAAAGGTTTGAATCCTGTTATAATAAGAGTTACGACAAGGTTGCTAGGTGTACAAAAGAAAATTCTACAAGAAGCAGCATCTTTAACTTCCAATTTGATTTCACAAAATCAAATGGCAATTTGAGTGTACAGTGCAAGAAAATAGCAAGGATGTTTCAAGTTATTTTACCATCAAGTATTGGTTGCCCAGCCCAGAATAGAATGATAACCATTCTTCTCAGGACTGGAATGGATTTTATTTTTTGCTGGCAATTTCCCTCTTTCATTACAATGCCCTTAAAACTTCTGGACATCTTTGGGCAATTTAAAATGGTTGTTCTCAACATTTTAAGTCTTGATGCTGAAAAAGCCACAGATAGAATTAAGCAGATGGTTGAGACTTAAGCACTATAACGATAGTTTCTCTAGATCGTCAATATCCAAAGAATGAATAAATCTGATGACAAGTTAGAAAGCTGAGAGGAATTGAAAATAATTATTGCATATACACTATTGTTTTTTTTTTAGATGTGCCCCTTTCTTCTGACCAAACAGGTTTACAGAAATTTGGAATATTACAAATCAAATACAGTAGGTTATCTGTGGGGATCAGAAAAGTCAAGATGCTGGTCACGACCTTATGATCAAAACCCTGCCCCTTTTTTATATGTGTTGACATCACATGTACAAAGGGGCAAGGTTTCAATCATATAGCCATGACTGCCATTTTTTGACACACCCACCCACCTTCATGAATTTCAGGGAAAGAAATGTACTCATATTCCAGATACGTCAACATTTTTTTTTAAAAAAAAACCTTGATGTGAGATCTCTTTCATTAGAAGCTATCTGTTCAGTTAAGTTATTCTCTTCATGTAGATGTTCTCCAGTGATCAAAATATATGAAGCATTTAAGTCTGCTTTTTTCTTTTTCTCTTTAGTGGATTCCTATTGGACATTAGTATTCTTTACTTTTAATATTTTGTACATTTAAAATAATTCCAGGGGATTTCTGATTAGGAAGATGGGTTCTGAATAATAGTTAACATTATTGTTTGAGGAGGAGAATGATTAGGTGGCTGTAGCATTTTCCCTCTTTTCAGGTGCTGAGTCCTTTGGGCTTTTTTCTTGCATGATCAATGGGGAAGAACAGGAGCAGACTCACCGAGCTGTTTTCAGGTAAGTTTGGGGCAGAAAACAATCCCATCATCCCAGATGACAGACTTCCCCTGCACTTCTAACCAATGATGCCTTCTTATCAAGTGATCCACAAGAATTTTACTCACAAACTGAATTAGTAGGTAGGTTTTTTTCCCTATCCTTAACACACGCACACACACACACACACCCCAGTTGCTTTAAAACACAGAAAAAGAATTTTAAAAATACACAATGACAAATGACCAAAAGAAACACATATACAAAGATATGCATCATATAATAGATGCATAGAAAATATTTCAGCTTTTGAAGGGCAGATTAAATGTGGATCACACAGAATAATGTTGGTTGAATTTTTCCATACATTAATAAAGAACCACTGCATAAATGATGGCTACTTTGTCAAGAGTGAGAGGCATCTAGAAATTTTCTAGCATTTTGGACTTGGCTTGATCTAGGATGGTGACAAATTGGCCATCAATGGACACATAGACATATACAGTATCTACATGATGTGCAAAAGAGACGATCAGCAAACAAAAAAGGGGAGGGAAAGACCAAAACACCTCCCTACCAGCAACCAACACCCAGATGAGCATAGATTAGCTCCAAGATTAATATCAGACCAAGTAAGAAGTAAAGGATCTTCCAAACAAGCTAATAGTAAACAGCCCAACCAAAGAACTTCCAAGATCACCCCCACCAACACTGACAGGGCAAGCCACTAGAATGTAATCTGAGAGCAAATCCGACTCCTTACTAGCACTGATAAAGTTACCTAGTTTGCATAATGAAACGTCTTCAAGAAAACAGCCACGCTCAGAGAGCACCAAGGACCTCTCAAAGTCATTTGTTTTTCCACCACTAAAGACTATAAGACAGTGATGGCGAACCTTTTAGAGACTGAGTGCCCAAACTGCAACCCAAAACCCACTTATGCATCGTCGAGTGCTGGGTGGGTGTGGCTCATTGGGTGGGCGTGGCTCATTGGGTGGGCGTGGCTGTGGTGGTAATGGCAGACTGGGTGGGACTAAAAAGTTCAATCAATCAATTCCAACTTTGCAAGATCTTTTTTTTCCCGCGAGAAGTTGAAATTGACTGATTGGACCTTTTTTTTTTTTGCACATGGCGGCAGAGGCCTAAAGCGAAAAGGTTTTATAAAACCCAGTTGAAGGCCTAAGACTGGGGCGACGGCACACATGCCCACAGAGAGGGCTCTGAGTGCCGCCTCTGGCACCTGTGCCATAGGTTCACCACCACTGCTATAAGACATATTTGGATAATAATATATTCAGAAGGAAGCTTAAATTTGATCCTTGTTTCCCTGAGAAACTGACAGTGGATAATCCTAGTATGGAAATTGCAGCTATTTTTTTATTTCATGGGCAAAAAAATGGCATTAATATTTTAAATCAGCTTATAGTTAATCAGTCCTTCAAAATAATTACAGCACTGTGTTGCAAAAAAAGCCTGAATTGTCTAAATTCATTAATTAATTTGTTCATGACAACATATTTTGAATAAACAGTTTGCAGCATCAAAATCCCACAAATCATTGTCATAATTGGATGAAACTTTGGTTAATTCTAAATCTACAATTCATTTTATAGACAATTGAACTGTAAGATAGTTATTGGTAATCTGTAAGCAATTTGGAGTAATGAGTTGGAATACCCTGAATTAATAAATCAATGTTTTAAATTTTATAATCTGAAGAAAAATAAAAAAAATATTATTTTATATGTGTGTTTATTGGACATCTAGGAGGACGTTTAGCAAGATTTAGTTGTCAATTTCACTATGTTGAAAATGTAATATATTGGTGTATGAGAGGCTGTTTTACACTTTCCTATTTTGATTCAGTATTAATGATTTTATAAATGTGGTGTTGGAAAGAGAAGTAAGATTTTAAAATATCAGTGGGATACTGAAATATACCAAAAATGTGGATTTATCATGCATGTGATGTTGCCAAAAAGCTCTGTTTGATGTTGCTATAAGAATTTGCTACAGCAGATCCATTTTGATCCCTATAATTATGTTGAACTTTACTTCCCATGATATGCACCCAACATGATCCATAAAAGTAAGTCAGTAAAATATTCTCTGTGATCTGGAATGGAATCCTCAAATCTTACATTAGGTTACCTAGTAAAGCACAATCAATTTTGGGTCTTGATCCTTAATTAAAGATCTTGAATTAAACATTTAAAATTTCATTCCATTTAAGCACTATACAATAAGCTGAGTATGAGGATATGTTAATAATAAAATGTAACTATTAATAATACTAATAACTTGGTCTGTTGGTTAAGGCACCAGACTAGAAAGCGGGAGACCATGAATCTCAGCCCAACCCACCTCAGAGGGTTGTTATTGTGGGGAAAATAGGAGGAGGAAGATGTGTTTATATATATTCCTTTCTGCCTGAGTATCTTTAATTATATATAATTAAAAGACCTCCCCAGCTGTAGTTCTAAGTAGGGTGTAAACAAAAAACAAAAAGATTGCTCTAATCCAGGGGTAGGCAACCTTGGCTCTTTTATGACTCGTGGACTTCAACTCCCAGAATTCTGGGAGTTGAAGTCCACGAGTCATAAAAGCGCCAAGGTTGCCTACCCCTGCTCTAATCGGTCTCTTAGTATGTTTTGGTTATTAGTACACTTAAGATTCCTTATTTGGAATAATTAATGTAGGACGGAAATTCATTCTTTGTTCTGTGCAGCCTGCATTTCCTGTTTTGTTTTGCTTTGCTATTTTTTCATATGTCTGTCTGTCTGTCTGTCTGCCTGCCTGTCTGTCTGTCTATCTATCTATCTTGTCTTTATTATTTTTACAAATAATTCAAGGTGGCAAACATATCCTTCTCCTTTTTTCCCTACAACAACTCTGGGAGGTGAGTTGGGCTGAAAGAGAATCACTGGCCCAAAGTCACCCAGCTGGCTTCCAGGGCTTAAGGCAGGACTTGAATTCATGATGTCCTGCATTCTAGCCTGATGTCTTAAGCACGAGACCAAACTGGCTTATGATAAATTATTGTACAGTATAAAAACAAAGTGAAGTCATATAACCTAAGTCTTTGGGGGAAATTATGTGGCCAATCTAAGAGATATCACACCTGCAAGTTATGCTAGTAACAATATGGCATCATAAAAATAATTTATGCAGATAAGCAGCCCTTCTAAAAAAGAGAAAATCCAATTGCTAAGCATCCTGCTCATGAAAAATCACCTTGAAATCCTCAATGCAGAATTCTTATAGCGATATACTTCTCAGGTGAGCGAGGGCTTGTGATATTAAGTCTGAAAATTTACAGTCTACTATTTATGAGTCCTTTGCTATAGAATAAAACCTTAGATGGATTTTTATGGCGGATACCGGATTCCCATAGATCCTGTTAAATATAAGACTAATATTTTATTTTTAGAGCTTTGGTTCACAAAATATGAATGGTTTTTGCCTTAGGTTTGTGCCTCGTCATGAAGATGAATTGGAGCTGGAAGTGGATGACCCTTTATTGGTGGAAGTTCAGGCAGAAGATTATTGGTATGAAGCTTATAACATGAGGACTGGTGATCGGGGGATCTTCCCTGCTTACTATGCTATTGAGGTCACCAAGGAGCCAGATCACATGACAGGTATTGATCCTATTTAGGGTTGCTACTCTGCTTCTATCTGGACCGGTCTACCCATTATCATTCTTTGATTTGAAGGCTGTTCATGCAGCCTATTCCCCTTGGATAATAGCAATGCACTGCACAAGATGCTTTCCAAAGAAAATGTTAATTAAATTAATATTCAGAATTAGAATGGAAGAAAAAGGGCATGGTTTTAATTTCTAGTTATACAAAGGCATTCAAATATACATAAACTGTATCCCATCCCCACTGCAATTGACTGGAGTAAGGAATGCTTTTATTTAAATTTAAATTTTAATTTACTGTATTGAAGGTACTGGACGTTTCTCCTTCCTTCTTTCTGTAAATCATCCCTTAATGTTACTTCCTCTTGAACCTAATTCCTCTGATCCAAATTTGTTGCCAGTCACTCAGTATTTAGTTGCCCCTAGCTTTATGAAGTAGCCCTGAAACATCATAGAAACATATGGGATTGTATCTTATTTCAGTACGGTTCTTTTTACTGTCCTTATTTTTCAGATTCATGCAAAACCAGTGATTGGGTGGATCAATTCCGGGTGAAATTCCTTGGCTCAGTCCAAGTTCCTTATCACAAAGGCAATGATGTATTGTGTGCAGCTATGCAGAAGGTACTTTTTCTCAACTCTCCCTCTCTCCATCTCCCCCTCAACCTCCTGATCCTTTATTTGGGTAAAGACAAATACATTTTTATTTAGAAAAAAATTGCTGTTCCACACCACAATATCAGAATGATGAACAGCGCCCTCCCCTCCAAAATATAATTAAAAGAAGTGGCAGGAAGAAGAGAATATAACAACCAGTGACACCCAATGGATTTGTTAATTCTGCACACTTTTATCTAAACAAAGGAGATTTCAAATTCCATTTAAAACGGGCAAGGTTCTGAGCAGAACATGTGTCTTCAGATAATTGGTTCTACTTTAGTTTCTCCTCCAGGGAAATCCTTTTGCAGGATTTGAAAGACAATGAAAATGCCAGAAGATAAAAGGAAGGAGCTTTCAGTAACAGATTTTTCCCGTTAATTTCCAGATTTAGATGGTTAGAGTTTTAAAAGCAAGCAAGGCCATCTTGAATATGGCCAAGAACCAAGCTAACAAGGAATGAAACTCATGAAGGGTTAGTACTGCATAATAACCATGATTGTTACCAGAAAATAGTCTGGCTCTAACTGCAGCTTTGTAATAGATTTGAAGAAGTGGCCTGGATTCATTTTTAAGATAAAATATTTAAATTTGACGTTTTTCTAGTCTACAACAGTAAAACTGCCCATGATAAGCAACAGTATTTTGTATATTTAATCTTGCATTTTTATACTTAAGACAATGTGATAGCATGAATATTTTAAAATATTTTAAAAGCAAATCAAGCAGGACAGACCTCTAAATATCAAAGAGCAGAATGTACCATAGAAAACTTGAATAGTATCATTTTAAATAGTTTTCAAAAGGATAAAAAAGACAGGTGCACACTTCCCCCCCACACACACCCCTTCCTAAAGGATTAGTTTTACTACTAGGATGTTGCTACATCAAAGAGTGTATTTCCATCCCCAAAAGCCATAGATAGTGAACAGAAATTCTGGATAGGTCCATATATATGTAGATTCATATAGAATAGATCCCCAAATCTGATCCTCTATGTTTTAGCTAACTGGTTAATATATACTTTTTTTAACAAAGCCAAAAAATAATAAATAAATACAGAACACAAACAAACACCAAACCAGAAAAAAGTTACCTAGTGTGGAAGTAGTATTAGTTTTCAAACTGAGGAGAAAATAAGTTAAAAGCCTGATGGAACAGAACAGCCCTTTTCCAATTTTTGACAAATAAGGTAATTTTTTTACCCACTTAAAACAGAATGATTCCTCCACTGAGCTTGAACACAGTAGGTTGGTTCTCCTCAGGTAGCCACTAACTTAGTCTTTCAAGATGGTGGGGCATAAAACAGGATGGTTTAAATGTGGGTGGTAAAGGAACAGTCGCTATTGCCAGACCAAACTTTTTTTTTTTAAAGCAACTGTCGGTGCAGAAGATGGGCCATGTGAACTCCAGAAATATTGTTGGATCCAAGAGCATGTTTAGAATGGGCCCTGTTCTTTCAGAAGGAATGTGCTTAGTCCAAACTACAGAAGGACAGGGCAGATGTGGGGAGAGTCTACTCTTGTCTACATTGGAGACAAATTGCTTTCTAAAGCAAGAGCAGGAACTTTAAGAAACATTAATGGTTGGTGGCAGTTGATCTTTTTTCTGTTGGGTACAGATTGCCACTACACGTCGCCTCACCGTGCACTTTAACCCACCCTCCAGCTGTGTCCTGGAGATCAACATGAGAGGAGTTAAGATTGCTGTGAAGAATGATGACACCAAGGATCCCAGCAAAGTGAGTTTGACTGCATGTGAAGCTCTGCTTCTTGCACGGTCCACATATCCCTGGAGGTTCCATTCTTCAGGGCCTCATTATCTCGTTTCCTGCAGGAGTATAGTGGAGAGGGAGCAGTGTTCCTGACCTTGAGTCCACACATGGATGCTATGCTCCCGGCCTGTAGATATAAAAATGGAATCGAAGGCCTCTTTGCTAAGCTCCAATAATCTTTGCAGCTTTGCTAAACCTTTCTGCTACTATTTTAAGCAGCCTTCTGAAAATCTGTATAGTAAAGCTCTTTTGATTAGCTTTTCTGCATAAGTAATTTACAAGGAGTTTTCAGGAAGAAATAGTAAGGCCCTGCTGAAACAGAACTGCTTGCCAAAGCCATTCATGGTCAATGGAACCAGGAGGAAAGGAAGGAAGGAAGGAAGGAAGGAAGGAAGGAAGGAAGGAAGGAAGGAAGGAAGGAAGGAAGGAAGGAAGGAAGGAAGGAAAGAAAGAAAGAGAGAGAAAGAAAGAAAGAAAGAGAGAGAGAGAGAGAGAGAAAGAAAGAAAGAAAGAGAAAGAAAGAGAAATAGAAAGAAAGAAAGAAAGAGAAATAGAAAGAAAGAAAGAAAGAAAGAAAGAAAGAAAGAAAGAAAGAAAGAAAGAAAGAAAGAAAGAAAGAAAGAGAAAAAAAGAAAGAAAGAAAGAAAAAGTTTGGCCAAACTTTTAAATGTATTTCTTTTCTTATAAAGCCCAAATATTAATTCCCAGTTATTTTACACTGCTTTGCACACAAGTATACTAAATTCAGTTCAGTTTAATATTATGCAGACATTTTGATCATTATCCAAATTAGATGTGTTTAAAACTGTGAAGACAAACCATATTTATTTATTCATTAGGTACATGGACTTGTATGCTGCCCACTCTCACAATTTTCGTAAGGTATAACCATATTCATTGGGGTAAATAAGCCAAGGTCTTTGTTACCACAAGGAAAAGTGTAGCCCTTCATTTATCCAGCAAATAAACTGATCCTGTTGGCCGCATATAACACAGATTTTTTTTTCCAACGGTGATTGCAATGAGAGTCCACGAAGAATGGTTGAAGGTTCGTTAGCTAGATTAATAGCCCACAATTTGTTTTGTACAACTTACGGCAGGGTATGCATCAATAGTAGCACTGACGATATTACCTAGTTTGGTAATGAAATATCTGCAAGAAAACAAGCAAGCTCAGAGACCATCAAGGACCCCTCATGTCAACCCTGAGCTACAAATATTCTATTTTATTAGTACCACATAGTGTTCCCTACTGCTATTTTTCTTACAGCAATTACTATGTGGTTGGGGTGAGGGAAAGTAGCTGATCCAAAGTCATTCAGCCAGCGTCCATGCCTAGGAAGGACTAGAAATCAGAATTGATTTCTGGTCTAGCTTTATAGATAAACTTGCTCACATTAATGGCCTACAAACTCTTCCAGATGAATCACCATACAATGCAGGGCTGGGATCCTACATAAACAGTACCTGAAATTATCACATTATTCTTTTCCTACTGCTGCCTTCCTGTCACCTAAGCCTCAAATTCCTATGTCATATGGAAGCTTTTAGTGAGAGTAGAAAACTTGGATGCAACTTTCTCTTTCACAGTTAGTAAGCTTTCGTGCAGAGCAAGCAATTGCAAATAGTTATACAGCAACCTTTCATTTTTCCTAAGCAATATCCTTAATTTTTAACAGCATTTAACTTGCTCTTTTGTTTAAGAAATGGCTGTTACATATTTAATAACTTTACCTTTTGCAGGGGAATAAATGTAGCCACTTTTTCCAGTTGAAGAATATTTCATTTTGTGGATACCACCCAAAGAACAACAAGTAAGTCAGTCCCAGAATGTAGTCTAGTTTCCTTGTCATGCTCGACATTAGAGCTAAAGATTCCACTGATTTTTGCTTTAGTAATTCCACTTATTATTTATGTACAGCTCCAAATTTGAGATAATCTTAGAAGTTTGAGGCTTTTCTGAAGTGTAATTGGTTGCATAAGAAATTATTGCCCAATAAACAACTAAAGCTATATGACTAATTTGAAATACTGTAGGTAGAATAGACATTGTGTTCCACACACTGAAATTACTGATCCTCCTTATTCTGAATAAGTTATCTATGCTTGTTCTATGGTGTTCATTATCCAGCTGTGATTCAGTCTTGTTTCTCTGAATTGTTTATTGATAATGGCTTTCTTTACTGAGTGGGTAAATATGTGCACACAACCTGCTATGTATGGTAGTTCTGTAATGCCATCTCTATTAGCTCTGATTTCTCTCATAATTAGATCTGGGTTCTGACTGAACCGTTGCATGGGTCAACAGCTTTTCTTACAAAAAGTTTTTCTTACCATTGGTTTACAGCAGACATGTCAAACTCGCGACGTCACATGACGTTGCGCAATGTATCGGGACGGTTTTGCCATTGCCGGCAATGGGGTGGGCGTGGCTTCCAGATGATGCGTCCGGCCCACGGGCCGGCAGTTTGACACCCCTGGTTTACAGTTTTCTGAAGGAAGGCACGGTAGCTATTATCAGGCAGTGATTAGACTACTCATGAAAAAGCAAAGCCAAAATTCTAGTCTATGTTAACAATGTTAACTATGTCTAATCTATTACGAGCAAAATTCGAAACTGACTTCTTAAACTCAGGTACTTCTTGTTTGTTTAAAAGACTTTATAGCTGCTCATATTGTAACCATAACTCTGGGTGACTCACAAAACAATAAAAACAACACACACACAAAAGCCTCTTAAATGATCACAATAAAAACTCATGGTGCTATAAAGCAACACTCTCCCAACATCAGCATATCATCTTGCTGGGCTTCAGCCTCAAGACTGATTATGGGAAGAGTCAATTGTTCAAGGCCTTCAAAACACAAGGAGGATATATGAATTATTTGGACTGTATGCTGATTATTTAAATCCATTCCAATATGGCTTCATGCTTGATAGAAACAACCTTGAAGGCATACAGTAGATGGATGATCTACATGCAATGAATGCATAGTCATCTGTAGGAGTGGGGGAATGTCAAAATAAGATAAGATAAGATAACCTTTATTGTCATTTTTTTACTGTGGGCACAACGGCACACATCAAAAATGAAATTTAGTAATGTAATGTAACATACAAGATGCTGGCAGTTCTGTCCTGATAGAAACACCACCCTTTTGCATGCATGCCATATTGACACACAAAAGGGACAGGGTTTGGATTGCAACCCCATACAATCATCTTATATCATAAATCTTATATCAACTCATGTGCTATTGAGTAGATTTTTTTTCAAAATAGATGATTGCTGAACTGTATGTGGAATCCAAAATATTAGAGTGATTTCAATTTTGCCTATTTTAGAAAGTTGAATTTGAGGGTTTGTGACTCACACTCCAGCCTGTGTGTTACCAAAAGATACCATCTCCTTAATCACATTTAACATCAATAAGAAACTGCTAGAAGAAGACATTTCAATTGCAGTGTCATTAGTCTGCAAACAGCACAGCGCTCTGCTAATATTGCATCTGCTATCCCAGAGAATCTTCAAATGGTTAATGGGCGGACTGGGATGCAACTGAAGAAACTGAGGCATAATCCAGAGGAGTTGGAAGTTTGGATTTGTTGCTGACTATGGAATTAGAGGTGTTCTACCAATTTTGGTTGATTTTTCATTTGTCTTGGAAAAGCAGACCTAGGACTACTCCTCATGAGTGTGTTGACATGCTACTCTCATTGTTGAATTCGAAGAAATTTTGGTAGAATGCGTTGTGCTGTCCTAATTCTGCCTTAGAAATGAGGCTGTCGAGTGGTATTCTTACATTTTGAATATTGGATAAATTAAGAAAGCAATTGGTAGATTATTTAGATTTTGTTTCCCCTCCCGCACTTGTAACCACATTTCAAGTTGCCCAACTGACAGAAGTGTAGAGATGCTCACACCCATCACCATAGAATTAGACTATTTCTGAATATGCTATCCCGTGCTGTTTAAATATAAGCATATCGTAGTATACCACTTTTGTACCAGCTAAATTAGTTGCTGGCATTGTTGTTTTAACTGCTGAGAATAGAGAATACTTGAAGGAACTTGCCAATGTTGAAAGATAAATAGTTGGAGTTTCTTATTTCTCACCTGACTTTAAGCTAAGTTTGGTTACCAAGCTTTAGAGATAGGCACCTAACCCTAACCC